ATACTTAGATATACTAAGCCTTAGGCCTTATATACTAAGATAGGTAATATTATACTAGGTAATAAAGATATAGGTATTAGCTACTAGTAAGACCTTCTTAAACCTTTATTATTAATAAAAATAGTACTTCTTATATATAAAAGATATTTATATACTAGTAGCTATACTAAGGTATTAAGGTATAATAGTTAGCTCTAGAGCTACCTAAGGGTATATATTTAAGCTAATAGGTCTCTAATAGTGTTAGCTAATAAGGTATATTTCTATAGAATCTACTTATTAGATAAGTATATATTATTAGTGTTATAGTAGTAGTAAATAATATAGTAGGCTACTATATTTATACTATAGATAATAGTTAAGGGCCTATATTAAATATATTATTACTTTACTAAGGGTCTTACTATAGCCTTATATAGTAAAGAGTAAATACTATAGGCAAAGGTAGTACTAGGGGTAAAGTAGCACCTAGGCTACTAGTAGGCTATAAGGATATTAATATTAGAGTATTATTAACGTTAAGGGCTTCTAGGGATATTTTAGGGTAAAAAGTAAATTAGGCTAATAAGGTAAAGTATATATAATCTACTAACTAAAGGTAGCACTATAAGTATAATAGTTAGTATTCTATAATAAGTACTATAAATAATATTATAAATAGTAAAGAAGAGAAATAGCTATCTTAAGAAGAAAAAGGTCTTCTTATAGCTAATAGATAGTAAGAGTAATAAAGCTAGCTATAGGCTTTTATTTTATAGCTATAATAGGATTAATCTTATTATTATAGGAGACAGAGGTATAGGCTATTATAGCTATAGGTATAGGGACCTATAGTAGTAAATATACCTAGGACTTTATAGCTATAGAATCCTTATAGAATAACCTAGAATATTATAGCTATAAGACCTTTAGTATATCTTTAATAATTAGGCCTTTATAGCTATAAGGCCTATAAGGTAGCTATACTAACTAGAGCTTTATAGCTAAGGGATTATAATATAACTAACTAGAACTTTATAGCTATAGGAGGCCTTAATATAGTAGCGCTAATTAGACCTTTATAGCTATAAGGCCTAGGATACTATAATATAGCTACCTTAATCTTTATAGCTATAGAGATTATAACGTAGTAACAATAGTAAGGCCTTTATAGCTATAGGAATATTAACACTATAACGCTAACAAGACCTTTATAGCTAAGAGGATAATAATACTACTAACTAGACCTATATAGCTATAGGGATTATAATATAGTAATATTAACTAGACCTTTATAGCTATAGGGATTATAATATTAACTAGACCTTTATAGCTATAGGGATTATAACGCTACTATAACTACTAGATCTTTATAGCTATAAAGATTATAATATAGTAACACTAACTAGACTTTTATAGCTATAAGGATTATAATATAGTAACACTAACTAGATCTTTATAGCTATAGGGATTATAATATAGTAATACTAACTAGACCTTTATAGCTATAGGGATTATAACGCTAACTAGACCTTTATAGCTATAAGGATTATAACGCTACTATAACTACTAGATCTTTATAGCTATAGGAATTATAATACTACTATAATAACTAGACCTTTATAGTTATAGGGATTAGGACGCTGTTAACTTAATCTTTATAGCTATAGGGATTATAATGTAGTAACGCCTACTAGAACTTTATAGCTATAAGGATTATAATGCTACTAAATAAACCTTTATAGCTATAAGGATTATAACGTTACTAATAAAACCTTTATAGCTATAGGCATTATAATACTACTACTAACTAGACCTTAATAGCTATAAGAATTATAACACTATTAACTTAATCTTTATAGCTATAGGTATTATAATATAGTACTACTAAGTAAACCTTTATAGCTATAGGGATTATAATACTACTAACTAAACCTTTATAGCTATAAGGATTAGGACACTACTAACCTAATCTTTATAGCTATAGGGATTATAATATAGTAACGCTTACTAGAACTTTATAGCTATAGGGATTACAACGCTACTAACTAGAACTCTATAGCTATAGGGATTATAACACTACTACTAGACCTTTATAGCTATAAATATTATAATACTACTACTAACTAGACCTTTATAGCTATAGGGGTTATAACGCTACTATCTTAACCTTTATAGCTATAGGCATTATAACGCTACTACTAACTAGACCTTTATAGCCATAGAGATTAGGACGCTACTACCTTAATCTTTATAGCTATAGGGATTATAACACTACTAACTAGACCTTTATAGCTATAAGGATTATAACGCTACTAACTAGACTTTTATAGCTATAAGGATTATAACACTACTAACTAGAACTCTATAGCTATAGGGATTATAACACTACTACTAGACCTTTATAGCTATAAATATTATAATACTACTACTAACTAGACCTTTATAGCTATAGGGATTATAATACTACTACCTTAACCTTTATAGCTATAGGTATTATAATACTACTACTAACTAGACCTTTATAGCTATAAGGATTATAATACTACTGTTACCTTAATCTTTATAGCTATAATAGTTATAATATAGTAACACTAACTAGACCTTTATAGCTATAGTAGTACACACTGCTATAGCTATAAAGATTAATATAGGCTAGGCCTTAGGCGCTAGCACTTAGGTTAGTAGGTTAGGTAGGTTAAGTAGGTTAGGCGTTAGGCATTAGGCACTAGTAGGGCAAGGGGGGTAGGTTAGGTAGGTTAAGTAAGTAGGCACACTAACTATATATACTAGGTATATACCTAGGGGTATATATCCTATTACTTATTTCCTTCTATAAGAAAGAGTAACCTAAATAGATAACCTATACTTATACCTAGCTCTTGTCCTATATTATTTATTTAGCTTCTTGTTATTACTTGCCTTATTTTACTACTTTACTATTATACTTTACCTTTGTACTATGTTACTTTATATTACCTACTGTAGCCTTGCTTCTTCTGTTAGATCTATAATAGCTAGTAGAAAGGCTGTGTTAATAATAATATACTGTTTTTTTAGACTAATTAGAAAGGTAAACAGTAGTATATCTATAAGACTAGTGTGTTTATATTAATTCCTAGTGTGTCTATATTAATTCCTATAAATATATATATCTTATATTTATAATTCCTTATAATAAAGGAAATATAAGGTATAGAAGTAAGTAAGGTATTTAAAAAAGCCCTTACTTCTAATATAAATTAATTACTAAAGAGCTATAGAAGTCTATTCTTAAGTATATTAAGTCTATCCTATATATAAGTCCTACTTCTATTTATATATATAAGGCTATATCTTAAATATATAGCCCTAATATATCCTTAATATATTACCTATATACTAAGTATATAATATCTATATCTTTAGTATATAGATCTTATCTTATCTTATCTTTATATAACTTATACTATAGTTCTTTTGTTCTAGGGATTTATTTATCTTATAATTCTATTTATCTTATTAGTGTCAAGGCTATACTACACATGCTTCTAGCTTAGTAAGGCTAATACTGCGTATAACTTATTAGGTTATAACAGTCCTATACATAATATATAATATAGACACTTTCAAAAGATAGAATAAGACATTCTTATAAGCGTCTAGCTATCTATTATTAATATATAACTCTTAATCTATTCTTATAATAATTACCTTATAGCTTTAATACTTTCCTAAGCGCAGTTACCAAGCACCTACAATTGCGACATTAGATACTAGTAGAGAAGCACAAATAGGTAGCGCCCTAGACGCTCTTTAACCCCTTTTTAAGTATTAAGACATATATAGCTAACTAAGTTAACTTAGTCAAGCTGCGTTCCTATCTAACTCCCTACACCCTGCAGTCCATTGTCTCTAGCTGCTCCCTAGACCAGCTGCTCCCACGCAACCCTTAGAGCTTTACAAAACTCTAAAAGGCTTCCAAGACCTCAGCCATCTCTAACCAAGCTTGTGTCTTACTCCTCAACGCTGCCCCTACCATAGTCGCCGCTTCTTTACCTCCCTTCACGCGCTATCCAATTATTATAATGACTAGGGTCAAGCCTATGCAGCCCTCTGCTGCCACACCCGCTGCTATCAAACCGTCAACAAAGATATACCAGGCGTAAACAAGAAAGCCAAGGGTATTATGCTTAAAGACGTTAACAAGTTCCTGCCAGTAACGCTGTCTCCTATTTAATCCGCCGCCATACGTCGCCTTGTCAAGCCGCCTATGCTAATAGAACTAATTACTAAGTCCTTTAATAGTTCTAGCTAATCTAATCACAGCAAGGATACAGGTACAGGGTTAGCTACAAGCAGCAATTATAAAGAAAATAGAGATAATAATAATAGTAAAGATTATAACAAAGGTAGTGCTTTAAAAGAGATTAATATTACCTAAGTAGACAATAGTATTCAACAAGACATAGATGTTAAAAATCGTGACAAGACTCAAAACAGCGACAATACCTACCACAACAGCGATTCCCTACGCAAAGACAATTTAATTCAAGACGGTAGCCTTATTTATCTATTTATCTAATAGCCCCCGCGGTGCACAAAGGTGATTTGTCTATGATCCTTCTAAGATCTAACCTCTCTAGGCCCCCTTTACGTTGTAGTTTATAACCCCCCCGCCCTCTTCTGCCACGCCAACGCCGGCTCTTGAGTGCCCCCCTTTATGAAGTCTCTTGCCTCTTCCAACCGCGATAGCTAACGCCGGGGGCCCACAGCACCTAATGTACAAGACACGCAGCCGTCTACTACAGCCATAGAAAATTGGCCTCTATTTGCCTCACCCCAGTCTTGGAGCAAATCGGCTTGCCTCAGCGTGAAACAAGACAACATGAGTAACTCTAGTGTTGCCGTCATCCTGCACACGTTCCACACCATCGGTAGAGTTGGCCTCCCGCCAAATACAGACTGTCTATTGTGGCGGCGCGTCATTGCGGCCTTTATGACAGTGCTAAATGACCCAGCCTTCTTGCCCAAGTCAGCCTTTATGCGCATCCAATGAATCCAACTCCATCACAAAGAACTTCGCTAGACGCAAAGGCCTGGACCTGGCGTCCGACTGGAAATCTTGCTAAGTTGTTGCATCCAATGCCAACATTGCTCGGCCTATCAGAGCACTATAAAGATATTCATTAGGCTTCTGTTTTGTTTTCTCCCATTCTTTTTCCTCTTGTCTTTTTTAAGTACGACAGAAACTTACACAAAATGAGTTCAAATTTAATCCACTACAGGTATTAGTAGGGTCTGCAACGCTTTGGCCGCAGCACAAAGGACCAGTCTCAGGCCTGGCGATACCCTGATTACCCTGATTGACTCTATGTCCGCGATGTTCGCTGTGAAACAAAGATTCGATGCCGAGCCCAAGAACGGTAATAGGAGCTGAAAAGAATATAAGAGCGTAGCGCATTTTGTTATGTTTTATGCTGGCTGATTGAGGACAAAATGATGATAAATAGAAAGAAGTACAGACTTGGCTGTTATAAATTTAATAATTGTTTTAAAGCCGTACTCAAAAAGCGATCTTGTTATAGTAAGAATCAACATATGTTATCACTAGGTAATCAGTATGGGAGGCAGAGGACTGTCTATTTAACCTGGTTGTAAATAGGCTTTAGAAGAAATATATGTAAGATCTATTATAATAACTGATAGGAAATACTATTGAATAGGCTGAAAGGAAGCTGGCTATGTTCAGCGCATGATCAACGTTACAAGTATTAGTAGTTTCACAAGAGTAATCAGACAAGCTGACAATGACCCTTGCACTAACCTAAAGTAGTATTAAGGGATAGGGTGGGTTAGGATTCAAGCATGTGATCAGTCCTGGTAGGACTATTATATCCTTCTAAGTGATCTCCAGTGACAAGTCCACCACATGGTTACAGTACACACGGGTCACATAGGGGGTCATTGTTAAGTCATTGCCAGCTTGATATGTGTAGACTTGTTTTGAGAAGTGTTTATCCTAACTGCTGGCTCCTGACTGAGTGGCTTAACGTAGAGCCGTTTTAAGTGTTGCCCATGCCCTGCACCCGCTGACTAACAGGATTTAACAGGATTTTAGAGACCTCCACCCGCTAATGGTATAGGGTTAAGATATACTATCGTCAATAATTGACTACACAAAGCCTGGTGTGCTTTGGATGAACTGAAGAAACAACAGGGGTATGCCAACGGGCCGTGTTTTATATCTGGCCTGCGCGGTTGTCGGCACAAGCCTTCACAGGGAGGTATGACTCATTGGCCTTAGTCTAGGATATTAAAGGTTAGTCTAAGATGTTATAAAGTTTCAATTACATGTCTTAGCATGGCCTAAGCCAGAAAGGGTAGGTAGCGCTATGACTTAGGTACTTAAGACAGCCCTATGGGCCACTACACCACCTCCTGGGAGGGGAGCATGGCAATGCCATTCTTCTAGAGTTAAATCTATTCAATATAAAACTATGTATAAAATTATGAGTATGTATATGACCATTCTCTGAGTCCCTTTGAGCCCTTCTCATATAGTTAATGTGCTTACACCTCGTTGGAGTTGTCTGTCCTTCCCAAAGACCTTCCTTGCGTGCTCAGGCTGGCTGTTTCTTTTTCGCAATCTGATTCATGCAGATCGACAACAGGCTCAATGTCTTTCACGCCTCCTCTTTTGTACTTTCGCCATTCTGACTGCGACATGGAGTATAGCCTTGAGGCACCAAATAACTGTGTGCAGGTCCATAGCGAAAAGATAAAAGGGGTAACAAACTTCCAGACAGTTCCCCATCTGTCCCAAGACTTATGGAGAAGGTAAGCGGTGACAGCGACTTCAGTGAGGGAGCCCACGATCATCCAGACAAAGAGACCGCCAGCCAGATAGGCTAGCAGTTTGCTCTCGTTACGTCTCGTACGCCAGATGATCAAAGAGATAAGAACTGGTAACTCCGTAATGGCGTCAAAGGTACCTATCTTGGCGTTAGGAACCTATATTCAAGGTTGAGCATTAAAGGATTGTGTTCCATACATACCCCAGACCATACACATGTAAAACTCAAGAGAAGCTTCCGGGTGCTTCTCCCAATTATTGAATAGTGATAGCGACGTTTGCATGATAGCTATGAGTCCGACGTGGTGGGCGATGCTAATAGGACTTCCGAACTTGGTGCGATAGCAGAGCTCATAAGTGTAGTATGCAGGGTACGCCTGGGCTACGATGAAAAGAAGGTCTCCAACCCGAACTCGGCTACCTGCGGCCATGGGCGTCGATAGTTCCGCAGGCCCAGCGATAAATTCCATGACTGGGTAGAACCCAATACACAGAACGAAAATCATATTCATTGCGCCGACGTGGTAGTGAGTAAAAGATCGACGCTGTTTCTCGTTCCCGGGAGCCTGGAGGTTCATGTAGATACTTCCGTAGAGAGCTCGAAGTAGCCATCGTTCGAGAATGTTACATAGTATCACTAGTATAATAATACTCGAGACGAAGAACAGCGTTCCATACGGCTGAAGATATGACAACGGTCCATTTGATATCGTACTGATCTTTGGGAGGGACCTAGAGCCCAAAGTAGAGGAAATTGTCGACATGATGAAAGAATTCTGGAGAATCTATGAGAACAGCGCCTGAGGATGTGGCACTGGTGTGTTGTAACAAAGCTATGTCGCTGAGCTGGCTATACGGGCTTTATAGAGATGACTGATATGGGTTCATCGGAGACATCGGATGAACACCACATAGGTACGCCCCTGACTTGGATTGAGAATATCACGCCTTGACGCACGGCGAAGATTTACTAACATACTAATCATACATTCCTGGGGATAGATCGGCCTGACCGACGGTACTCACAAACTCCACATTTACCAGTTCGCAGGCATACTTCAGGAGGCACCATGCGCGCATTATGATTTGGTTATGCCCACTGCCAGTTGAGGAAAGCAGTAAATTTTGTTTTACTGCTGACGAAGACCTTCTCAAAGACACATTGTTACACGCGCGCCCTGGCTAAATAGGTCGGTGTACTTAGAGAGCGCGTAGTCAGAAAGTCTTTTGCGTCAAGCAACTGGAGTCAAATCTTACGACCAAGGGCCTTAACCCCACGAGTGTGTATCAATAATGTCAAGGGATTTTACTTATTAATAGATGTAGGCCTAATATTGAGCCACAAAAATCCGTCCTGCCTAGATAGTAGGCTATGGAGAATACAGGCTTAATGACTAGTAGTGTAATATGGTGCGTTTGAGTAAACCCTGCCAGACTGCGGCGTTTTTTTCCAGCGGGGAGCGAACTTGCTATTGTTGGGACCGGAAGGATAGGTCCGAGATAGCGGAGCTAAAAGCCATCCCCTTCCGCCCCTCGCCGCCCCCACGGCTCGCCTCGTATGCGGGGTGCCTGTGTTAAGTGACCCTTAGCACCGGTATATACCGCTTGTCTATAGTATCCTAATGCTCTGTAACACGTATATAGTAGTTGTTAATCATGCGTATAGTGGGCATTATGGAAGAAACGCTGGTCCGTCATGATTCCGGCAGTGCGGCACCATCATCTCGTGTTCTTTCCACTTAATTACATGGTTACGCCCGCCAGCATCCCCACCGGTCGAGCTGAAGCATTTCCTACTTGTTCACTTTACCCACAATGTTGCTTTAAAGTGGGAAGGAAAAAGGCTGCGACTTGTTGATTGTTGCACAAATATGAGATAGTGAAGTAACTCAAGGAGCTTAATGCATGCGGCTAAGGCAGCAGAGCCATAAGCAACAGCGATTGCGACACTTCTTTGAGGATATTAAACAACAGAACAGGCTAGCAAGCAAACAACTAAAGAGCTCCAAACACCTCTCAACACCTGTAAATATGCTCTATTTTACTGCATGAATAATCTTGTGTGGAGTGTCTAATTCCTGTTAACAAGGTGACTTAAGCTGAAAGTTGGAGCGAATTAAGCTATTGCCTGTATTTCGCTAATTATGTCGCTTGAATTTTCTAGGACAAGCTTTTTTAATCTACACAAGCTGACTAAACAATGTAACCTCTGTATCCGTATATCTGTACATTATGCTATATTGACAATCTACAGTATAATTACTAATTAGTCACTGTACACTCTAACTTTACTAGCTAGATTTATACTACAGTGGGTAAGCAAAAGTCCTGCTAAATACCAAAATTATCCAATCTAGCCCCCTAAAGTTAGCTTCTTTAACTTTATAAAACAATAGTATTTTATATACAAAAGTAAAACTATATAGATTAATATAATAAAAAAAAGGAGCTCTATTATTCTATATACTTAATATTTAGTATACTAGCCTTATATAATAATAATAGCCATAAGTTACCTATCTATGCTTTTAGATAGGTGCTATAATATCTCTCCTTTTAACTCCTCCTATACTTTAACAGTAGCCTAGATAAGGGCGTTAAGAGCAGTAGCTAATTATAAAAAGGATACTATTTCTAGATATCTTTAGTAAATTTATTACTTAAGGATTTTCTATATATTTTTAATTAGGTTAAGATTAGGTAACTATAGTAGCTAATTTACTAAAGGAACCTTAGTCTTATAAGCCTATTTATAAAGCTATTTTTAGACTATTTAGGCTATATATATAGATATCTTATCTTAAGTAAATGATATTTCTAGCTTAGTAATTATTAGTAATATTTCTTATAGGTAAATAAAAATAATC